ACAGCTCACCAACTTGATCAATCCCAACTGGTTGTAAATAACGATCTAACACGTAACATTGATAATTAGGCAATGGACAACCGATTGGAATCGACGGCGATAATAAATCGTTTGGCGTGACGATGTGGTAAGTTGCATCTATGGTGCATTCTGCCGGTCCGTAGAGATTGATAAGTAGGGAACGCTCTGATAGATGAATTTGGATCCGAGCTGCAGTTTTTGCAGATAAGCTTTCACCTGTGTAGAAAAAGATGTGCGCCATTGATAAATCTCATCGGCAGACTTAGATGCTATCTTACCTGAAGAGCAAAATCGGCGAATGCTGCGAAGAATATCAGATTTTACACTTTGATGATCCAGTAAGTCGCAGAGACTGCTTATATGCGTGGGCACCGTATGAATGTACGTTGGCTGGAGAACCTCGATAGTTCTGACTAAATAACTTAAATCTGCGTTTCCAAAAGGTCGGAGCATTATGAGAGAGGCACCGATTGCTATTGTTCCCAAGATCTCTTGTACATGAATATCGAATGAGCATTGTGTCATTTGAATAACAATGTCTGTTTGCTTGAACATATCGATCGATGATAAAGATTTCATACATGCGAGAAAGTTTTTGTGTTTGATTTGAGCCTGAAGATAAAAGCAAGATATATAACTTGTAGCAGAAGATTTTGCTCGCGACTCTTGTCTGAGGTATCTTCACCTTTGAGCGAAGCAGTATGGAAATTCTCGTTTCGAGCGCAAACTCGCCCATATACCTACTACCTTTCATAGAGATTTCAGCTCAATATGTCTTTTTGCGAATCACAATCGGCTTCACACTTCAAGATTTTCTCAAATATTAACTTTAGACCGTGAACATTGGGAAGTGATAAAGTGTTGCAAATTCAACAACAAGTGACTCCTTGCAAGCAGAAAAGGGCTGCAAAAGCCATACGTAAATACCCTTCATCTGTTGCTAACTGATGTACTATTGTAGTTTGTCGTTATACAAAACACACAGAGTGACTTACCGCTTTTGGTTTTCCAGTTGATCCAGATGTGAATATAATATAAGCAATACTATTCTCCGTCAAATTTTGTATGCTAGATAACAAATGACACATTGTTGTTGCTCTTGTTTCACCAGAATTAAAAATGCTGCCAACATCATTCACATTGCTGTTACTACTGTTAAGTTGTTTCTCTAGTAAAATGGCCTCCACATTAATAAATTTGAGAAGTCGATCATTATCATTTAGACTGGTTTGTGTTATTCCTCGTGTATGCGTTAATACATATTTTGTTTTTGTATCATCGATCAATGAGTGAAGACGCATTGGTGGATCATTGACATTCAATGGACAATATGAACAACCCGACGTTAGTATCGCTAAAATGCCAATAACCATTTCAATACTTCGATCCATCAATTGACAAATAATATCGCCTGATTCAACTTTGCATTGTTCGATCAAATACAAAGATAAAATTTGTACATAGTACAACACTTCTCCATACGTTAATGATTGTTCGTCAAGTGCAATGCAAACTTTTTGCGGATGTAAGATAGCTTTTCGAATAAATTCATGATGTATGCATTGAATGCAATTATCATTATCGAATTCGACACGCGTTTGGTTGATTTGTTTCAATAAGTTGATTTCATATGGTAATAAAATTGATAATTCACAGATTGGTGTTTGTTTCAACGTTGCCGAGTTCAACGATGATGAACCAAATAGTTGTTGAAGCATCACACAGAATCTGTCACACATTGTTTTGATCGTTTTTTGATCAAATAAATCAGTCGAATAATCAATTGAACATTTCATGATTTTGTTTATGTGATGATATTCGACTGAAAATAATAAATCGAACTTGGACACATTTTGTTGGTCGGTATGATGATTGGTGTGATATAAGGATAATGGATAAATGGTGGCATCATCAAGCTGAATTTGTTCATTTGATGTATTTATCGAATCGAATCGAAATACTGTTGGCATAAACGGTAAATGATTGACAATCTTCGATTGGTGATGATTTAATTGAACAATTTTCTGATATGGCAAATGAGAGTTTTCTAGCACTTGTAAACAGAGATTTTGTACTTGTAAAAGCGTATGTTCGAACGACCATGTTGGATCCAATTTCATTCGATATGGCAACAAATTCACGAACATACCGATTATTGAATGCAACTCAGGACGATATCGATTCGCATGAATATTACCAAAACATAAATCATTTTCTCCATTTGATAAATTTAACAAGAAAATGTAGTAGCAAGTGAGAGCCAATTGAAACACCGATACGTGGACTTCGTCGGCATAAGCCAATATGTTTTCAACCAGTTCTCGATCAAATTCAAAATTAACCGATGATCCATAGCCGCTACGTTGTGTTGTTGATGGTCGACGATCATACGGCAATTCCAAATGTTTATCGATCTCAAAACCATCTAACAGATGTTTCCAAAATTCTTCGGCCTTTGTCATGTCAAGTTGTTTTTCATGTTGAGCATAATCAATATATTGCAAGGATCTCTCAAAATCCAGTGTATCATTTGAGTAAGCTAAATGTAACTCATCTTGAAATAATTCTGTTGAATAGCCGTCAAACGCAACATGATGAAAATTAAATAGAATATAGTCGTTCATTCTAGCACTTGAGGCAGCAAGATCATCATCATCATCGATCTCACTCATCATTCGGATGATGTGACACCGAAATACAATACCGTTAGCTAAATCGAAATATGTTTCATTTGTTTCTTCATCAAACAATATATTTTCCAATTCTTCTCGAGATCTTATTTTACTAATTTGAAATTTGTACAAATCGTGCCCAAAAGTCATCGGTTTAATCGTTTGCATTAAACATTCCTCATTTTGGTCATACTTCAATGCTGTTCGCAAAGGAGAATGTTTTTCAATGACCAACAACAATGAATGACGTAGTTTTTCAATTGATACACTACCATTCGTGATTTTGAATAAAATCGGAATATTGTAAATGGGTACCGAAGTAGGCTCGTAGCGTATTTGATCATGGAAATAAATTCGTTCTTGTGCATACGATGTGGGACCTAGAATTCATTAGCATAGAGGAACTTGGTTGATTAACAGTGGCGCCTAAGGCAAGTCTAAGCTCATTTTCTCCAGTAGAGAGGTTTAGTACTACAGATGAATCTGAAATCAGTTTCTTTGAAATATTATAGACGTATGCACAACGACAATTTAAGAGTTTGGACTAGTGTCTAGGACTGAGCTTTCCGAAATTCAAAACATTCAGCAGCATTTTCCGCCGAGCAATTGTGTCTTAAAAAAAAGAAGAAAACGTCTTTTAAAACCAGACCGACTATATGTGAGCATCTTACATATGTTTTAATATTTTCATTGGCGAGATATACACCTTACGTTTTGCGTCTGGAATTCGCTTCAAGAGTCTATACAGTCAGAAAAACAAAGACTCAAACAATAAATCCGGCTTCGCCCAAACTGACATGATATGTACTGTAATAATAAGAATTATCATGAGTGTTTGGAAAACTTGCATTCATTTGTCCCCCCTAACACGTATGGCATCTCTTGAGATACCGTTAGTTTACAAGAGGTGTCGTAACTGTATCGAGAGTCACCACAGCAAGGATAAGAAGGGTTGTGCTAAAATGTATCCATCTTGATTCTTTGATTTTAAAGGATAAGCGGAAGTCATAGAAACAGATTTAGACCTTGTGACCGTATCTCCACAGTGAAAGATATTTTTCGAAATTTGCCTAGAGGCTCAGAGGATTAGCAGTTTTTCGAAAACAAGAGCGCCCAGAGCTGCGCAAGTACGGGTACAATATGTACTGTGAAAGTGAATATGACCCTCCGGAAGCTCAGAATTCTAGAATTTTGCTTCATGAACAGTCATCCGTAAATATTCATCCATCTATAGTCGTTTCCAGATGGATAGGTTCAGAATCTAGAATTCTACTGCCTGCACTGTCATAGCCATATGTATAGGCTCAGAATTTAGAGTTCTGGTCCCTATACTGCCATGCATGGTCATGTACTCTCTACGGACACACAACGACAGTGAGGAGGCCACGAAAGACGGTGACACTCTCGACCTCAGTGAGGGACAACACTCAAAATTCTAGTTCAGGTACTGTCATGTACATGAAAAACAGTACATGACAGTACAGGAATCAAAATTCCAGAATTCTAGAATTCTAGATTCTGAACCTATTCATATGGAAACGACTGTACATGGATGATTATATATGGATGGCTGTCTATGAAGCAAATTCTAGAATTCTGAGCTTCTGAGGGTCATATTCACTTTCACAGTGCATATTGTACCCGTACTTGCGCTGTCCTCCTTGTTTTTCTTTCTTCTCTCCCGCGATCTGATATCTTTTCTCGAATGTATTCATCTCTTCGCTGTCTAGTCGAGTCGAGGCCGGTCATTCGAGCCGTTCTTGTGTATGTGCGTTGTACCCGCGTGGTCGAACTACTTTAGTATGTGCGCATCGATTTCTCTGAAATGTGCCTCCATGAAGCGGTCAAACGAAAATAAAAAGGAAAATCCGATACAGTGATCGAGCACATTCCTGGTTGATGTCCACCTCTAACAACTAACATCTGGAAAAGCCAGTATATGTTGTCTATCGAAATACAGTGAATCAATCTAAGAAAAGTGGCTTGGTGCTACTCATGGTTTCTCCGTGCTACTCCCATAGTATTTACCTTGTGTAATATTGAATGTTTTCCATTTTTGTTGTTGTACCAGAAGCGTATCATTGACCGTCGTTAATAAAGCATTTTTTAATAATTGAACATGTTCCACAATGGTTGATTGTTTAAATAACATTGCAATATTGATCAATTGTTGATTGAGTGAAAATTTCGATAAATAATAATTATACAATTTCAT